AAAAAAAATTGCTTTTTTTATACAAATGTTGCAGTCAATTTTGCTGAATACAGTAAAAACAACTCTAAAAAATTTTCAAATTGTAACGTAGGATAATTTATGACCAACTATTTTAGGACTAACATTTAAAAGGTTTAACAACTTTTAGTCGTTTTTTTTTCTTGTTTTTCTTTTTAAGATTCTTCTTTTAAAATTTTTTTTTATTTCTATTTTTCTAGCTTTAATTTATTGCTGCAGTGAAGCTTTATGAAAAAACATAAAGAAGAAATTCTTTTTTATTCTTGTTTAGTAATCTGTATTTGAGCATCAGTAATTTAATACAATGATATTAATTTTTGTTGATAGGAGAAAGAAAGTGTTTTCTAAGACTTAAAACAACAAAATGAACCACTGCCTGTCTTTTTTTTTTCTTTTGAAGATATCGATAGGAAAAGTTATTAAAATTAGGTCAACAAATGTTGTGACAGATACAGCTAAATGCTTCAGTTAATTTAATAGTAATAGTAAAAAAAGAAGGTAAAAAATATATACCTGTTATCGTTTTATAACTCTCGCTAAACTGATGCTACCATAAATTAAACTTATCAAGCATACTGAACAGTATTATCGCATAAAAATTTTCTACAAAAGAGCACTACCTACACGGACGGAAAGTAATTTCTGTAATATAAAAGTTAATCTAATTGATATTAATGTCTCAGATATTTGGTGATTTAGTTGATTATTCAATGTGAACACATCTGATATATGACTATATATTTTAATTTTATAGTGTGTCATCAATTTAGTACCAATAAACACAATATATTCTCATCGGTGATAATCGTATCTGTTGATAGTATTAACAATCAAATTTCCTGTCTCATAAATTAAACATTTTTTACGCTCATTTCGTAATTTGTTAAACGGGAAAAAGAAGATTCCTTCTTTTGTCGTCTTCAGATGGCAAAAATGTTTTACATGTGATAAATTTAGTTCATTCATAACCACCACTCACATCGTTTGTCCATCTTAGTGGTTGATCATCAACTGAAAGTACACACACGACTATACAATACTAATTTTATTGTTTCCCTATAAGATTAATGGTTTGTTTTCACCAAAAAATTGTTGTATTAGACTTCAACAATCAGTGTTAGTTTATCTGATCAAATTTCTAAAAGATTGTGTAGCTAAACTGTGTTTCCTCGAAAACATTTTAGTCTTAAATTTTACAGATAAAGTTAAGCGTGACTTGCTAGTTCAAACTTACTTAGAAAAATGACTTTAAAAAATAACTGTTTTTTTTGAACGGCAAAAGTTCAAGCTATTGCGGCTAAACCACTTTATTCCGATTTCAACTTATTGCAGTTAGAATCAAGCCTGTAGCTTAGTTTTAGTCATCAAATTTTTGCCAAAAACTTCTCTGTTTCTTAAGGCTTTTCGGAAACCCTATTTAAAAAGTACATTTTTTTGGTTTTTGAATTAAACCGCAATTAACAGCCACTTTTGTGACTATTATAATCACCGATCAAACTGTACAGAAGCGACGATTTAAGGTAGCAAAGTCTCATCTAAATAAAGTTTAAAACTCTGCACTTATTGTTTATTTTATCGTTACATCTGTCGTCATACTAATAAAGTGATGCTGCT